TTACTCTCTTTTCCTATGAAATATGAGAGGAATGGTAATAGGAGCATCAGGACCCTGACTGACTGCTATATCAGGTGACTTTTAGGGACTTTTGATAATTTGTTCCTTTGCCAAGAACAGAAATAAATGAGGTTAACTCTGGATGGTGATGCTTTCTTTTCCTGCCTAATAACCATTTAAAATAGTTTATAATATGTATTACTTCTGTTGTTATTTAAACACGTTAGCAGAACACCAAAGGCCTTGACCATTGAACCACACATTGGATGGTGCAAGGCAGATCATGATCACAAGGGAAAATAACTAAGCACTGTATTGATTTCTTTTATAACCAGGTTGCCCAGAGTTATCCTCCTAAAGCAATCCTGCCCACCCTCTAAAGCAAACCAAACCCAGCTGCCAATGATACCACTGTTCTTGAACAAAACGCAAAAGAAGGGAGATGAGAGATAAAAGGAAAAAATCCCCTTATTTTCCCCTATTGATTGTAAGTAATTTATGAGATAAAAAATAATAGTATAAAGTACCTGTAATCTGGGCCCATGCCACTATACACCAAACCTATGTGCTTGGTAATTGGTTCCACTTTGTGTACACTTCGTTCATCATACAGAATGGATTTCTGTTTCTTCTCAGTTGCTAACACCACACCATTTGCAGCTTTAAAAAAGAAAAACGGTGATCTAAATGTTTGCTTATTGAAAGATTCTGCTCCAACAATTATTTCTAACTATGGATACATTTCGTCCAAACGCCTTTGTTTCCTCTAATTTCTAAACTTTTCCTTCTGAATTTCTGTATCAAAATCACTTAAGCAACACTAAATCAATTTTTCCCTCATTAGTCACCTCTATTGCACAAAGAAATCCCTACAGCTATAAGTGTTACACAACTTTACTTTAAGGATTTAGGACATTTAAGGGTCCACATATTTTAAAATCATCAAGTTTTACCTACTTGTTCTATTGCTCTTAAAATTTGAAATTTAAAATCAAAGAATATTGTTTTCTAATGGAAAAGATTATTTGCCAATAATCACATCAAGTGACTAAAAGTGGCTATATTTTTGGAAAAAAATTTTGATCTTGTTAAACTGCAAGATAATAAAAATTAACAAAAAAATTAACTGTTGAAAATTATACTGCCACAGTGATTTATTTATAAATTAGTTACTAATTAAGGGCCTCCCCAGAGGCTCAGCGGTTGAGCGCTGGGCTGCGAAACTGCCCACAGCCTCTGCAGCACTGGTTCGATCCCCAGCCACCGGGTGAGGGTCCCACATGGCGCACAGACCTCTCCTGCCATGCCCGCTGATCCCCTCAGCAGTATATTTCATTGGTCTGCCTGTTCTGTTCCCCGCTCTGGCTCTGGTAAATTCTCTCACCCTCCCGCGCTTCTGACTGCGCTTCTGACTGTCCCCAGTGCTTGTATAAATTAATCTTAAAAAAAAAAAAAAGTGTATATTATTCTCAAAAAAATAAATTAATCACTAATTAACTCCAAATGGCCATTAAGACAGTTATTAACAGGCATCAGAAATGAATGAACATTTATTACCTTTAATTCCCACTGAAGGGGCTCCTCCAGCAACAGCAGCCAAAGCATATTCAATCTGGACAAGTTTACCAGACGGGCTTAAAAAGAAAAGTTACAGGGTAGGTACATTAAGGTTAATCCACTAATGAAACATCAAGAGATAGATGGGCTCTGGAATTTATCAAGAAGTTGTAGAGAAAATAAGATTTTACTGGGCAATCTGAATGTATTCACAGTGAAGCACTGATCTCAGTTCCTTTGATTGTGTTTCCTTGTCTGCCATTTATAAGCAGCATCATTACTGTTGCCTTTCACCACTTACCAACTTTGCCACTTTGGGCAAGTTACTTAACCGCTCTGTAAAAAGGGGAAAATAACACTACACCTATTTCAAAAGGCTATTGTGAAGATTGAATGAAGTGATGCCTATAAAACTTCTTGTCACAAAGTTGCAAGTAAACACTGACTAGCAATGGTAAAATCAAACAACAGCATATATTTCATGTGGGTGGAGTTAAACAATTTAGAAAGTAAACATGACCTGAGAGGTGAGACCTAAATATCAGTGACAACAAAGTATTTTCTGTATAATACAAACCTACTGCTACAAGCCATGAACTGGTTGTACTTAACTTACCTGGTCACATGGGTTTGGTAATCAAGCTGATTGTTTGTATCATAATTTTTTTTCAATCCAGTTGAGTTACAATCACCATAAACATCACAAACCAACCTATTTATTTTACAGATAAAAATGTCCCCAACTAAAAGTAATTTGTCCGAAGTGACAGCTAGGCCCATTATCTTCAATCTACTATTGAACAGATAATCTTGAGTTTCAGAATGTTAGCTGCTTTACCTTCATAAAATTATGGATACTGCTTTGGTCACTCAAGTCGCAGTCACACCATCTTACCTTGCACCAGACACTGACTACTCTTAGAATTCAAAACCCTTTTGACAAGTTAATATCTTTGTCTGGAATGCATTACACTATTGTATGGTGTACCCTTCCCAGATGTCTTTCCAATCCTTAGTAGAAAAGGTCACATCCTCAAGGAAGATGCCCTACCCACCTATGAGAATCCCATCCACTCCTGCCTATGGTGTCCTGTACTTCCTCTTTGACCAAGTTTTAGAATACAGGAGTTAATTTTACAATATTTGTCTCCCTCAACAGCGTGAGTTCTGTTTGGTCAGGATTTCAACAGGAGTCCACCATCATTTGGCTGATAGCGACATATCCAGGCTTATTTAAGCAATTAATAAATCTATAAGTAGCAGTTTAAAGACAAAATTACCTAACGGGTGAAATAACTTCAGTAGGCATTTAAATAAAAAAATTAAACTTTACTTGTGTTCCTTTAATGGCCACTATGTCATTAATCGTATCATGACTTTCTGGGGTGATCCAGCATTCAATTATTGTTTAATATCCAGTTCAAATACCTTTAGGGAACACTGTGAAGGCTCAGTAAATTTAAAATAACTTTTTCTCTGTTCCCATAATCACCTCATAAAAGTGTATACTTTTATCACTGTATCTTTGTGTGCGACAGCTCATGAATGTGAGTTCACTAGGCAAGCAGTCATCTCTGATTCTTCACTCATGATACTGTAACAGGGTGGTCCCCAGGAAAGGGGGAGGTTCCCTGCCCCACCCAAGGGAGGGTGGAGCTGAGCAGGAAGAGGAGAAGCAGAAGAGACTGAGGAAGGAAGGAAGCAGGATGGAGCCTAGAGACACGTGAAGAAACTGCGCTTGTCTTTGGGTTGTGGACTGGGTGACACAGATGTGGGTGAGACCCGTGGGGAGGTGACAATGGCAGCTTTTATCTTGATGTTGATTTTGCTCTTTTCCTTCCGGGCTTGTCCGGTTGTTTGTGACCCTTTGCTGTGGGTCCCACTGGAAGATGCTTTAGACTTGTGGCAGGCTTTGGGGCCTTGCTCTGCGCCATTCCCATATGGATGGACTTTTACCCACGAGGGGACGGGTAACTTTGGGTGCTTGATTTAGAAACTAGATTATTTGCCTTACCTGTATTGTTTCCTAGTTTTATTAAAGTTCCTTCCCATTAAAGTCTCATGTTTTGTGTTGATGCGGCGGATGGCAGAACCCATTTAGAATAGGCAGGTTTGCGGGGCTTGGGCTACCCCTCTCCCTGTCCTATAACAATACTACCCCCATTCCAAAACACCAGCATCTCTACCTAGAATAACTGAAACTGTAATAGGGTGGTCCCCCTCTCCCTGCCCTGTAACAAATGACATTTTAACTTGTTTTCCTCTTTCCCACTCTTTCTTCCAGCCTCGGTCAGAGTTACCTTTCTAGCAAGTCATTTCCCACTTAAATCCTATAATAACTTCTAGGGTCATTTAAAATAAAAATTTCTTACTCTAGTTTACGGGACCTGTACAATGGCTCAAGATCCAGGTTAACTCCTTGCTCACCAATCAGATAGGAGTATAAGTAAATGGGCTTTACTATCCTTAAGAAAATAACCGAGTCCTTCCCGGTCCATCTGCTAAATCCTCTGGCGATGGTTTTCATACACTGAGAATGATGGTTCATCTCAATTGTATTTCAATCCGCTGTTTCAAAGTAGGAACTTCTTTTATTTTTTTTTTAAAGTAAACTGTCCCCCTAAAATGGCTAAAATGCAATGTAACCTAATAATTCGGGACCCCACAAAAGAAGAGTAACAGAAAGATTACCGTTTTCATTTTCAGTCCTTGGCGCTTCTAATAAGAGCATCAAAGAAACCGAAAGCGGGAGGTTTTCAAAGTACACTAGGGCCAAATGGAGACTAAGACTCAAAGTGTAAAGTCGAGGCTTTCTGAGAAAAAGAAAATTTTATCTGACCATGATTGCGATTTCCAGGAGCTCCCGAACCAGACCGACAAAGATTTGAAGAAAATCCCGAGTTTTGAACTGGCCACCTGGAGACAACTAATCCCTACTGCCTTCTTCCGCAGTCTCCAAAGCGAAAACCACCACGGACTAGGGGCCTCAACCGCCTCACCCCCCAAGTTCGTCCTAAATATTCAAGTCCCGTGTTCCCACTCCCTCCTGGGACCGCTGCTCCCCAGGTCACCAGTGAATGACTTTGCAAAGGCGCATTTCCACTCCCATTTCCTCCTGGGCCCCCCAGAAACAGAAAGCCGTATGTCAGGACGGGAAAAACCGGACCGGCGGAGTTCGTGCGACCTCAGCTGCGCGGAGGACCTCGGAGGGGCCCTGCCTTACCTGAAAGTAGTCAGCGAAAAGCTGTACCCGCGCTCCGCCATCTTTGCTCAGAGGGCCAGCACACGGCACACATGCGCACAGTGACCAATTTCTTTTCCGCTTCCCTCCCGTCGCCTTCTTCACGCTCTCTGATTGGAAGAGAGGCAGAGACGCTTGAGATGTATGCTGGGCGTTGTAGTTCCGGAAGGGGGAGACGCACTCACGCGCACTCTAAGCGCATGCTCCGGGTGGAAGCGGAACGCAGCAACGCGGTGGGAGCGCCCTTCGGGCTACAAAAATGGCCGCCACCTTGCTGGTGCTGGTGGCTTCGCCGTGGTCTGGAGTCCGGGGACTGCTCCGGAACTGTTGGGGACGTTTGCAGCAGAAACTTCAGCAGAGTCAGCCAGGTTTTCCCGGTCCTCCGTGGGGTAGGTAAAGAAGACCGTCATAGGGGCCGGGTGACGGGACTCCAGTCAGCTTGGTGGACTCAGCTCCTAATGCATCCTTCGGATTTGCTGTCACGCTTAGAGGGCGTCCTGGACTTTCACTACTTAGGAAGCAAGTGGCAACTAACTGTTTTTGCTCTCCCCTCCCCAGCATGAAGGGAGTCTTCTGTCCCGTTCGTACATAGAATGTAATCTAAACGCTTTATCTTGACACCAAAAGGCGCCACTGCCTGGATCCTCATTCCTTTCCAGTTCTCCCTCTCCCTAAAGCAGTTTGTCATCCTTTGTGGTGTTTGCACTCTGTTCAGCTGAATACTAATTCCCTTGTTTCCTTCAGGAACCAGTTTTAATGGAAGTATCGGATGTTAAAATTGTCATTGCTTTGCAAATTACAGTCTACTCCATTTCTATTAATAATATCTAGTTAGTCAAAGAACCGAACATGTGCCAAACAATGTGCTACGTAAACTTTATAAAATTGTTTCGTGAGATAATCTCTACAGCAATCTCACTAGGTATCTTCCCCATTCGAACTGAAGAAGTAGGCTCAGAAGGTTCCAAGTTCACACAGGCCGCCCAGAATCTGCTTTTACCCATTGACTGCACTTCACTTTTAAATAAAAGTAGTTGTATATTTTTAAGAGTTATAAAATTTCAAAGGAAGTACTGGCAAACCTGAGAAACAGTAAGGAAAAGGTAATGAAACCCCTTTGGTTTTGTAAACAGTTTCGGAAAACAGAAGTGAAATGTTGATAGTCTCATGAATACATGAATATCATACAAAGAGGATGAGCTAGGTCTTTTTCTCAGGGAACAGGAATCAAGATTTAAGTATTATGAAGAACTAAGTGATATAAAGGCCCACCAGATTATATCACAAACGAGCTTCCTCAGTTTGATTTTTTTTTTTTAAAGGGGATGAATACATAGTAATCTCAGTGCAGATGGAAGGAAGGAAGTACATTTTGGGAACCTCCAGCTTAGTTTTACTTGTAATTAGGTACTGCCCACCAAGTACATTCTATGTGTTTAAGTTAGGTACCTCTCATATTTCCATTTGTGTTTACTACTAACACCCTGAGTACCATATAACATAATGTGAGAAACTCTTGGTAGAATTTCACTGATGCATTTCAGCTGTCTATTTGTATTTTTTAAAATTGATTTCTGTATGAGCTGTAGTATACCTGATGGCTAAGATTCCAAATGTCTATTGATCGTAATATTTTAAGTGATTTATTTATATGTATGTTGATATATCACTGTTGATTGTTAAAAACGATGTTTCTGTTCTTTTAGAAACTAGAAACCAATTCTGTATCTCCACGCTTTATTTTGTAGGCCCAGCATTAGCCATCCAAGGTCCAGCTATATTTACAGAACCAACCAATGATATCAATGGAAGTGAGGAGATTTCCAGTCTTTCAGATAGAATCTTTTGGATGGCAGCTCCCAAAAACAGACGCAGCATTGAAGTTAACAGGTGTAGGAGAAGAAACCCACAGAAACTTATTAAAGTTAAGGTAATAAGTAGGTTTTTGTTGGTGTGCTTTTCTCATGTCTACCTCGTTGTATATTTATGTAGTCTATGCGTAAATTATCCTCAAATTATGTGTCTCCTGTCCTCTGGCCTACATAAAATACAATGTTTTTCTTATGTATGTATGTCAGCTGTCTTATAGCTTAAATAATAGGAACACAGTCAAGGAAGGAATTTTGAGTCTGGACAGAGAACTGGGTTATAAAGAGTCTGCTTGACTTTGAACTGTGAGCTGTGCAGTCAAAGTTTGTGATTTTGAATGACATCTTAATTATGGCAGAGCCTATAATTAAAAAGAAGCAGAGGTTGTGTTGGATTTTGATTACACTAAACCTTACATACTTATTCTATCCTTATTTTCCTATAAAGGAAAATCCACAGATTTATTAATGATATATATAAGTGCTATGTGTGAATTCTCTGATTGCATTTTCACAATTTCCCTTCAAATTAAATACTGTTTTATTTTTAGGATGAAGAAACTGAGGCAAAAAGAATTAGCCTATGGTCACGAGCTATTAAGTGGTAGAGCTAGGATATGAACCCTGGCAATCTGATTATTGAGTTCACATTGCCCTCTTGAAGCTCTCATTTGTGTGTTCCTAGTCTCAAACAATTCCAGATTCCTTTGTCCCCTCTTTTCCCCCATGGCTACACTCTATATTCACCTAGTAAATAAAAACTTTAAGTGTTTATTTATTTTGTTTGATCTATTAACTTACGGCTTTAATAGCTGTGATTAGAGTTACTGTTTATGACATTCCATAGTAGCAGCACTGTGCAGATGAACCCCAAGAGCAGAGAATTGATTTTTATAAACTTTCATGTTCATTATTTTTTTTTTAAATTTATTTATACAAGAGCTGGGGTACAGGCCAGAGGCGTGGGAGGGTGAGAGAATTCACCAGAGACAGAGCGAGGAGCAGAACAGGCAGACGGACTGGAACCAGAAACACTGCTGAAGGAAGCCACAGGCAAGACAGGCGAGATCTGCCATGCTTGGAATCGAACCTGTGCTGCAGAGGCTGTGGATAGCTTCACAGCGCTGCGCTCAACTCGCTGCACTACTGGGGAGGCCCCCATGTTCATTTTTAAACCAAATCCTCAGAACTTAGGCAAAAGGTATTACTGAGTTGTGGCTGGGACTGGACTTCAAATATGGAACTAAAAAATACTTTATTGATAGAACACTTGATCCACTTTCATTGAAAGGTTTAAGATTTCAGGAATAAGGTCTTGCTGTGATTTATTACAGGACTTCCCTGACTGCATTTATTCTGACGGGAAATATATTCTTTGGTACATTCATTTTCTTCATTGAATGTTTTCTGCAATATGAAGTATATTATGCTGGGTGCTTTCATCAGGAAAATAGCACCAGCTAACTATGGGTATCTTGTGTACCTCCATTTAGACATGCAATCCATTTTTCAGTGTAGTGAGATAAAACAAAGTTGTTGAGGCAAATGACTTATAAGATTCCTAATTCCTTTCACAGAAATACAATTGTTTTTGTCATCTGCTTCACAGATGTTTGTAGATTAATTTTATGAAGTATTTGGAATTTTTCTGATGCTCCTGTTTTCTCATATTTCAAATCTACCTTTAGAACACATTGAACAGACTTTTTTAGAGGTTATAATTGTCCTATTAAAATTGGATATACATGAATAGAAACTCACCAAAATACCCTCAAATTGTAATAATACAAGCAAGTTTTAAATCACGGATTAATCAGTGTTCATTTATAAAAAAAATTACATGTAACCTATGCTTTGTACAGGACTTTGAATTACTGTGATCAATCAGGGGAAGCAAACTTGTAAATGTATTTATCATCTTCTTTTCCCCAGGGTAGGTAGATTCCTTGGTATTTTATTTAAGATGTTGCCTATGTAGATCTTGTATTGATAGACTTGTTAGATACTGAGTATTTGAAATGTGAGACTAGAGTACCATTTTACATAACTGACTGCTGTGTTTAAGTAAAATTGTACCAGAATCAAAGTCTGTAGACCTGAATTATAGTTCCAGTTTTTCTGCTAATTCAGATTTAATGTTGTTTCTTTTCAGTTTCCATATTAAAGTGATATTGAACTAGATGGTATATCACCTACATTTGTTCTTAGCCAGAAGGCTGAGAAGTGATAGATTATGACCTTATGCAGCATGAATATAACCAAAAATGTTCAAATTTAAGCATCACCTGTGTCAGTGATTATTTGTACATTATTTGCCTTTTGTTAAAATATGTTCTTGTTTATTATAGAACAATATAGATGTTTGTCCTGAATGCGGCCACCTGAAACAGAAACATGTCCTTTGTGGCTACTGCTATGAAAAAGTGCGCATGGAGACTGCAGAAATCAGAAGACAGATAGGGAAACAAGAAGGAGGCCCTTTTAAGGCTCCTACTGTAGAGACTATGGTGTTGTATACAGGAGAGACACCGACTGAACAAGATCAAGGCAAGAGAATCATTGAACGAAACAGGAAGCGGCCATCCTGGTTCACCCAGAACTGAGAGCAAAGATGTGTGAAGAGGGTTTCTCATAAAACATTTCTTCTGAAAGAAGAATGTTCCTTATCTTTATCTTCTCATGCTTGTTTTTAAATCATCAATAGTTCAAAACATCTTTAAAGCAGCTAGTTTTGTATGGGTAATTTTAAGAATATATCATTGGTAAGCTCTGTCCATTATTATGACATTATAATGTGTTAAGTAAACAATTTCCACTACAAAATAATAAAAACAATTTAAAATTCATAGCAGGAATTGTATGTTTTTGCCTCAGGTTTTGTTTGCTTGCCTTTGGTTTTTCTTACATAAATACTTGCACAAATACTTTTTTGTTTAAGTAGTACAAGGACATAGGTTGTTACTTGAGTTCTTGTATTTCTTAAACTAGTAGCTATGGCAGTAAGAAAATGTTCTGGTGTTTTTCTTGTAAGCAAATTAAAATTGCCCTTGGTGAATTCATTTTATGTGGGACATATGATGTTAATTTACTTAGATGATAGAAGTATTTCTTGACATTTTACATGAAATCAAAATGATATTCAGAAATCATTGATGGTTCAAGAACTGTATTTTATAATTTGGGGAGAAATTTTTTTTTAGTAAAGATGTGAGTGAATTCAATAGTACACAGGAAACTTGCTAAAGATATGCCTTTTCTTTTAGTCCTTTTAGTTTCTTTTAGGTTTTATCATTTTTATTTGACTTGATGCAAATTCACTTCATACTTTCCTTCCCCTTTCTTGTATCTCCCCTTTTTCTGAAATTTGCTAATTTTGCCTGCCTCATTAAAAAAAAAAAAATTAAAAAGTGAGACAACTTATTAAAGCACACAGCAGTAAGATAATTACAGTTATGTGGAAAATCAGTATACAAGGTAAATTCCAGGGTTATATTTAAAACAAAATGCTTACCACAATAGCCTGAAAAGTTACTAGACTTATGGAGCAAATTTATCTTTGACCTTCTTTTCCCTGGAAAGAAATTATACATCTATCAGTCTCTATAAGGTAAGGTCTGAGGGACATTTCTCCACTGGGACTTCATGAGTTTTCTGTGATGGGTAATTCATGTTAACATTCTTAGAAGTAAAAAGACCAATTTCATTAAGAACAGTATAAACCAGTAATACACAATTCAGTAAAAGCAAATCCTTGAAATTTCCAAAGTGTTGGAATCCCAGTAAATAGCTTTTTCAAAATTTTAAGTATGAGCAAATCTGTTCAACTGCCTATTCAGCATCTCAGATGACAAGCAGGTTGTAAAGTTTGTCCCCCTGGTTAGCGAAATGACCTTTGATTTAGTAGGAGATTCCATATATAAATGGTCCTAGTGCAAATATGTAAGCAGGATCACTTTTCTGTTTGCCATTCTATGGACAAATGTCATAAAATAAATCCCCATATTAGCAAAACCAGATGTCTAGTTCTTGTCACAAACCGTATCAAAGAAGAGTGCTTATTACTTACCTTGAAGAGGTCCTGCAAAGATATTTTTACATTTTCTTTATCTGCAGCTTTTACTATTAGAAAAAAAAAAAAAACGAGGTTGAATTAAATGATTTCTGTAGTACTCCTTCATGTTTTGAACATTAGAGATTACCTCCCTTCTTCATTTTTGTCTTCATTTTCAACCGTTACAACATTACATTTCACTAGTAACTTTTGGAGAGAGGAGTTCAAATTATGGATGGTTGGGAGAAGTGGAGATAATGCTGCATGACCCCTCTGAACTTGATAGCATTCCTCTCCTCTCCTGTTTCTCCTTTAACCAGTTCTTAGCAGATCACCAGGTTCTGACAATTCCTGTGTCTGATTTCATCTCCGTCTGTCCCTGTTCTAATCTTAGTCATGTTTCCCAAGCTGTTACACTCTACTTTCCAATTATAAGTTTTCAGTCTTCTCATATTTCTAATCTTCATTAATAGTTTATAAATTACAAAGTAATACATCTTATCGTGGTTAATGAAACTACAAAATGAGCAGAAGGTGAAGAATCATTTTTCTACTACCACAGCTTTTACCACACCACTGTGCTTGGTGCATATGCTTCTAAATGCCACATGGTTGTTTCTGAAACAGTTCTGATCAAATCAGTTCTGATGTTGAAACTAGGCTCCAAATTAAACCTTCTCTGGGTCCTCATGATCTGTCCAAAGCTTGATGCCTACTTACTACCACAATCCATAAAGTACACAGCTCACCCCTCAGGCTGTGGAAATCACCACATGTAGCAGGGGTTGTCCACCTTCTCAGCATGTATCTCTCTACCATCTTGACTTCGCTGTTTCGCACCTACTCCACTGAGTTCCCTCTCTGTGTTACTATTCTCTTCTACCCAACCTCTTAACTTTAGAATACCCAAATCTCTCTCTTTAGTGATCTCATCTAATCTTACCACTTGAAACACAACTAAATCAGCAACCAATCTTCCTGTTTGGCATCTCCAGTTGAATGTCCAATTTATATCAAACTTATCTCTAACTCAGTCTCTTCTCTTGCAGTTGTTATTTTCCCCAGCCCCCAATCTTTTCCATATCAGTTGATGGCAACTCCATTTTCCAAGATGCTCAATCAGAAAACCTACCTCAAAGTCATCTTTGACTCTGATACCTCTTTCAATCCATGAGCAAGTCATTGAACCCCAGTGATTATATATTTAGAACCTCACCACTCATCACCACTACCCCACTATCACCTCCATCAGAATCCCTATCATTTAGTCTAGAAGTCCAGAGTGCCCCCATTAATTGGTGTCCCTGTTACTGCCTTGCTCTTCTAAATCTTTTCCCAACACAGCAATCAGAATCCTTTCAAAGCTGGTCAAGACTGGTTTGATCTCTCTCTTCAAAACCTTAACCAGGATGAAAAATGCCGATAGTTTGCTTTGTGTAATATATAATATAAATAATGTGAATAAAGTGAGTTTTGGGGACTTTTAGGTGTACTATGGATGAAACCCCCTCAAAGATATTGTAACTTTTTAAAATGTGATTTTTCCTATTATTTGTGTAATGTGACTTTTTAAATTTAAATTTTATTTTATTTATAAAATTGAGACTTCTTCTTTAAACAAGCACAAAATGTAAGGATCACCTTTCCAACAGTCCTAGTATGGGTATCAATTTAACACAGGACTCAACTATTTTCTGTTCCTGCTCCCACACTCCCATATGCAGTTATATTTCAGGACAGGATTAGTTCAATATTTCTATATCTGTGCTAAGGAACGCTATGATTAGCGTGTCTTTTCCTGGCACACACAAAAATAGATGTTCTGTCTTTAGCTGTAACTCGTTAGGAGCAGTGTTGCTCATTGACCTATATTGGTTAAAAAAAAAAAAATTGTCTTAGTAACGGTTACTGTCTTCACTTGTTTCTACAGTAGAGGGCAACAGAGAGCGTGTTCCCAGTGTTCAAGGGACTCTGCCCACTTTTCACAGGATTATTTTTACCGTGTTGTAAATGCTACCCCTGCACCTCCCAGGTCCGTGCTTTTACCTCCACGTTTGTAAACTTGCCCGTGAGTGTTAGGAATGCAATTTGCAGCAAGGACGGTAAGTAAACTAGAAGGCCAACATGTACTGGCCTCCTGGGCCCTGTCATTCAAGTTCAGAGGCAACAGGGCAGTTTCAATCTTGAAACCAAAGCCGCAAAAGCTGAAATTTACCAGACATCCTGAGCCACCCCATTAGAAGGCCGCCGTTGAACTGCATCGAGTCGTCTCCATAGAAATAATGACCCAAAAGGCCCCATAATGCAAGGAACATTTTGTTGTTTTCCACCAAAACCATCCGACTATGGATGGCGGACAGGATTACTCCAAGGGAGAAAGGGCTGTGTGCCACGCTAGCCAAGGCCCTGTGCTGAGAACAAAAGAGAGCCTTCCAGGCGTGGCAGTGATTTGCCTCTTCCTCCTCCCTGCGCTTCCCATTGTTCTGCAGGGAGCTCTCCTCCACCCTCTTCCCATCCCACAGCGTCGGGGTAACCATAGACTAATTAAAAAAAAAAAAAAAATTCCCCAAGAACTTTGTGCAAGGTAAAAACTCAAAATATTGTTGCTTTGTTACTATTTCTCCAATATTCTCCAATATTAACATTTCAGTAGCTACAAACAAGTGCCAGTTTCTCAGTCATTCTTCTAAGTCATGTATTTTTCTAGCCAAGGAGTGATTCTCTCCTTGCCCCAGGAACAGGAAATGTTACTGAGAAGTTCTTTGTCACCATGGTTGGGGGAAGGGAGACTGCTACTAGCATAGAAGACAGGGATGACTTGAAACATTTCCTTGTCAAACTCAAAACTTACTTTATTTTGAATAAAATATGTGACATGAAAATGTTTTAATTTTCTACAAGTTTCACTGTCATTTTATCCACACATTAAGCTCTCAGCAATGATCCTCAAGTTTAACTCCCTAGGTCCAATTTTCCTATTGATCTCCAGACCTATCAAAATAATTCTAGAAATTTCCTTTAGGATGTCACATTGTTATAGGGCAGCCCCGACCTTTTCCCCCTAACAACATCAGGAACTAACAACTCTTCCAAATCTTTCCCCCTAAATTTGCTTCTTTAATAGCCTAGTTTGGCTCATTTATTCATTCAACAAATATCCAGCTCTGACAATTATGCAACTATATAGGACCCTTCTTGGTTAATTGGCATTTTAGGATTAGCCCATGGAAAACAGAACTCTGGATCACTCCTCCACCACACACCCATCAGCCAAACCTGCACATGATCCAAACCTTCTCACCTTGATAAAAGTTATCAACTCCTGTTACAGGCTCCAACCCAAAAGCCCTCTAGGGAAAGAATCCACAAAACAGTATAGTTAAACTGTTAGCAAGCAGACTGAAGAGCAACCTGGGACCCCCAAACTTTCATGCTCTAAATGGGTTATGTCATCTGTCACATAAAGATAATGAGTATTTTTAGTGTGTAAGACCTTTAATAGAAATGAACTGTAATGGAATAGTGTGCAATAGAGAGAAGAGAAGAAAGGATAATAGTTTCCCAAGAAAACACCCAAAGTTACTCTCCTCCCTGTGGGTATCTGCCGAACCACACAGGGTTGGTTAAAATCAGGGCCACTGAGGCCCAAAATCTTGCCACAAGTCTAAGGCACTTTCTAGCAGGGAACCATAGGAAAGGGGCAGAAGCAGTCAGGCAAATCTGAAAGGAAAGAAGCAACATCAAAGAAAAAGCTGAGATAAAGACTCCCATTATCAGTCTTTCCATGGGTCTTTCACCCATGTCTCTTTCAAATGTCTTCTTACAAGTCCCCCAAGTCCCTGGTACAAGTCCAAAGCTGAGAAGCAAGCTTGGCTTCTTCACATGTCTTTCTACTCCTCGTGCCTCCTCCAAGTCTTCTTTCCCAAGTCATCTTCCCAAAGTCCTTTTTAGCGCCCCCTTGCTGCTCAACTTCACCCTTCATTAGACGGGGCAGAGAACGTGGAGCCTTCTCTTTTTAGATTACACTGTTATAGAGGGAGTTATGCATGAGGGAACCTGTGCCAGAGAGGAGGATTTAGCCTGGCTCTTGGGAGGGAGTTAAGAAAAAGGGGAGCTCCAGAAGGCTGGATAAAGGAGCACAGCCTCATAGTTTGTTCTGGGCTGAGCATGTACGAGGAGGTGTTATGCACATTTACATATAGACTGCTCATTTGGGCTGT